GAGGGGGAGGGGGGTCATGCCCCCCAGCGGGCAAAGCCCCCAAGCAAAGCTCACATGAGGATTAACACCTTCCCCAGAGTCCCCCTTCCCCCGCGGAAAAGGATAGCTCACGGATCTCTGGCTAAATCAGGCATGTGGTGTGACCAGCCCCAGGAAGGGAAGTTAATATCGGAGTGATTCGCTAGGATCAAACCGGGGATTTGTTACAAATCTGAAAGTCTGATTTCTCCCAACCGGCAATCCGTCTGTCCATCCTCAATTAATAGCCAAGAAGGGAGATCAAGGCCTGAAGCAGCACTTAAGCCGAGAGGCTTTCCCAATTTGGCACGGGCTCAGGAACTCAGCCTCGCTGCCAGGATGCTGCCTGCCTCTTCAAACCAGGCCAACAAAGAAGGGGAGGGGTGTATGTTCAGTGGCACCTACAGGTGACTAAGGACCAAGGACCTTGTTGTGGCTTTGCTGTCATTTCAAAAAGTGAGGGGCCATGGAGAGAGGAGGAGAGAAAGATTCAGAAAGCAGCCAGGCAGCTCTCAGGGAACCAGGCCTGTGAAGCAGCTAAGGGCTCATCAAATCATAGAATTATAAAGTGGGAACTGACCCCCAAAGTCATCTAGTCCAACCCCCTGCGAAGCAGAAATCGTAGCTAAAGAATCCCTGACAGCCTCTGTTTAAAAAACCCCCAATGAAAAGCGGTACCAGTTCCTCTCCTCTCTTTCTGGGGAAGAAGGCAAAAAGGTCAAAGGCATTTTTCTTTTTAAGTGTTCACATGATGATGTCTCAGTCACAGGAGAGAGAGAGCCCAGTTGCCAAGAGCATAAATTGATCATGAAATAAACTGGCAGTCTTCAACCTGGTGCCCTCCAGATGTTCTGGACTGCCACTCCTTTGGCCAAAAAAAGCTCCACAACTTTTGTGTCTGGATTTTCACTTTTTGAAATATGGCAACCCTACCATAACTAAGAGGGACGTGGGTGGCGCTGTGGGTTAAACCACAGAGCCTAGGGCTTGCTATTCAGAAGGTCGATGGTTCAAATCCCCACGACTGGGTGAGCTCCCGTTGCTTGGTCCCTGCTCCTGCCCACCTAGCAGTTCAAAAGCACGTCAAAGTGCAAGTAGATAAATAGGTATGGCTCCAGTGGGAAGGTAAATGGCGTTTCCGTGCGCTGCTCTGGTTCGCCAGAAGCGGCTTAGTCCTGCTGGCCACATGACCTGGAAGCTGTACGCCGGCTCCCTCGGCCAGTAAAGTGAGATGAGCGCCGCAACCCCAGAGTCGTCCGCAACTGGACCTAATGGTCAGGGGTCCCTTTACATAACTAAACTATGGAACTCCCTCCCACATGAGGCAGTTACGATCACCAATCAGGATGGCTTTAAAAGAGGATCCAAGATGGCTACTCTCTGTCTCCACGGTCAGAGGCAGCAATGCTTCTGAATGCCGGTTGCTTGAAACTGCAGGAGTGGAGAGGGGGCTCTTGTCCTGGATCCTGCCTGCAGGTTTCCCACAATGGGCATCTGATGGGCCACTGTGAGAACAGGATGCTGGAGTAGATGGAGCATTGGCCTGATGCAGCAGGCTCTTCTTATAATCTTATGCAATTTGCTTTGGCATGGAAGGTTGATGAGCCCCTCATCAGTGGTGGACTTGGGGCTTTCAAATTTTAGCAGAGCCCTGTGCAATGCCAAGATTTGGTGCCCCCTGTGGCTCCCTCTCATCTTGGCGCCTAATAATAATAATAATAATAATAATAATACATTATTTATACCCCGCCCATCTGGCTGGGTTTCCCCAGCCACTCTGGGCGGCTTCCAACAAAATATTAAAATACCGTAATGCATCAAACATTAAAAGCTTCCCTAAACAGGGCCACCTTCAGATGTCTTCTAAAAGCCTGGTAGTTGTTTATCTCCTTGACATCTGACGGCAGGGCGTTCCACAGGGCAGGCGCCACCACTGAGAAGGCCCTCTGCCTGGTTCCCTGTAACTTGGCTTCTTGCAGTGAGGGAACCGCCAGAAGGCCCTCAGCGCTGGTCCTCAGTGTCCGGGCAGAACGATGGGGGTGGAGACGCTCCTTCAGATATACTGGATAGTGTAGATGAACTGGTCGCACTCCCCTAAATCTGCCTCTGACCTCCCTCCTTCACACAAATAGAATGGCTTGTTTGGCCCTGTCTCCTAAGGCAATGTCCCTTTTTCCATCTGAGAGTCCTCCCCCCGCAACACACACACATGCTCACCTTGCTCCACCTTCCTAAACTCCAATGTCCATCTGGACTTTGATTTCTTTGGAAGACACTGGTGATCGCTCTGCCTGCATTGGTCTCCAAGACCCGTTGACCCACCCCTGTCACACAGTTCAGGGGCCCCCAAACCAGGCTTCTCCCTCATTGCTATTGCATCCTTGGTGTGGCGGGGAACCTATACGACTTCAGTGTCTGTGATTACAAAACCAGGATTACATCCTTAATGCAGAGCACCTAGGTGCAACGTTGTGTATTTTTCAGAAACTACGCAGGTTCTCAAAGCTCACCCAGCCTTAGAAGTCAAGTTTCCGCCTTAGACTGGGCAACAAGATTCCTAAAACAACACCCCCAAACCTTGTATTAAAATCCGGGGGGGGGGGCAGGAACCATGCAGCTGTGTGTTTACCAAAAAGGATATCGTTTGGGAAGGGTGGCGAGTGCGGATCACCCACTCCCTGACTACACAGGAGAGCATCTGTCTATACAGACCTGGTTACCATGACATACAGTTATATATATGTGCGTGTGTGTATAATCTGGAATAACAATTACAGCGAATGTCCTTACAATAGGCCACTTTCCTTTGATTTCAATCTTGGTCGCACCCGGAAGCAGGGCCTTTCATGTGTGGTGCAGAGCTTTTTCACCCCCTGCCTTAAAATGGCATCTCAGCATCCTTTTGAAAAATTGCACTTCAAAATGCACAAGAGCAAATATAAATCAGGGACAAGGGGAGTTGTTAACTTATTGTTACAATGAAGGTATTGTGCCTCTTCTCTCGGTTGTGACACAGGGAGACAGATGGGAGGGGGGTGTGCATTAACGATTCGTCCATTATTTGGAATAAATCCAAGGGAACAATTTAAAACTAAAAATTCAAAAGGCTTCACATTTATTCATGGAGCAATCCTAACCACAGGGCGGTGTGTGCATGCATACATACATGTGTGTATGAGAGAGATAGAGCCATCAACCCAACTTTGGAAATACTTCAACAAAAGATATAGGTCCAATTTGACTTTTTGTTGTTGACGGTGACACCACCCACTTCCTCGCAACCCAGTTTTAAAAGTCCTGGAATAGATTCAGGACTTTTCAGCTGAGGTTAGATGGCCATCTGTCATGGAAAAATTAGTTGAGATTCCTGCATTGCAGGGGGTTGGACTAGATGACCCTCGGGGTCCCTTCCGGCTCCACAATTCAATGATTCTATGAAGGGGGCACCTTGTCCTCAGTGCCTGAAGCAGCACAATCCTCTATAAGCCCCACTGGGAAGGGAGAGGCAGGAAACGATCACAGCCTTGGCAGCTCAGAATCTCTTGGAGGGGAAAAAGAGGTGTCAAAAGGGACTGTGTCCCTGTAAATGGCGCACTGCCCCACTTTCGCAAGACCCCTTCCAAATCCCCCTAGTAAGTCTGAGAACATAGACCTTCCTTTTAAACATTTATTTTTAAAAGAAGTGGGGATCAGGCATTCTCCCCAAGCCGTTTCTGCTATTTTTATGCATAAAATATTTTTGATATATGTACATGTTTTTCACTGCTTTAAAGATAAGTAAATAAAAAAATTGTCCGGAGTTCATCGGCGGCACCTAGGTCCCCGTCAAATAGCAAACACTCGAAAGTTGCTTTGCAGAGCCTTGAATAAAAGGCAGTCTAATTACGCAAACAGAGAACCCACCAGATGACTATGTTCTCTAAGTAAAAACACACTCAGAAATTAAGAATCATAAATAATATCCCTGGGGACAGGGATGCCCCCCCATCAGTGGAGTGTTGCTCTAACAATTCAGTGCTTCAAGATCCCCTAAGGCAACCCCCCCCTTTCCTTACAGATGAGCTAAATTAACCCCAGGGGAGCAAGTGGGCGCTTAGCCCTGCTTGATCTGGGATTAAAAACAGGTTCAGACCTTGGCCGGTCCAGGGGAGACTGTGCAGACAGGAGTACGATTAAAGGACAGAGGTCAGGTTGACCCACTTTAAGAAGCCTGGCGGGTCCCTGGGGGTATCTCAAGAGAGGGGCTGGCAGATTCTAGAAGGCTTCCTTTTTGGGGAACCTTCTCTCTTCCTCCTCCTAAAAAAAAGTATTGGCGAGAGGAACTTGGAGAAGTTTCATACGAGGAGCGTCTCTGGATGATTATTATTATTTTAAATCCAATCTAGGGGAATCAAAACGGCCGTATGGGCTGAGGTGGGGGGCGGGGGGCGCTGGCTGGGGAAGGGGGCTGAGTTGCCCGAGGCGCCTGGCGAGACCCTCATTTGCAACACAGAGCAGCCTCCTGTAACCTAATTATATCAGCCGCTGGGCTCTTTTCCTCTTCGCCTGCGCGTACAGATTTGGGGTGTGTGTCAATTCTTCTCCGAGGGGCTCGAACACGTTTGTACGCTGTTTCCCCATTGTTTTCCTCGCTCCGTCAAATAACAACATTCTCTCTCCCCCCCCCCTTTTAAACAACAACAAGATTAGCACGCACGGTGGGGTAATTACAAAGGGACCCCCCGAAGCTATTGGCTCGCAATCTGCTAAGAAAAATAAAACGGGCGGGGGGAACGACAAGAGAAGAGGAGGCGAGATAAACAGGGGGTATTAAGAACGCAATTTATAGCGAAGCGGGTTTGGGGGAGTGAGGCTTGGATGCTAGGCAAAGCACTTTGTTATTTCCCCACAGTCAATCCCCCCGCCCCCAAATCTCACATCCCTAATAATGAAAGAGATGGAGGGGGCTTGCCTACCACCCCCCACCCGAAGCGATCGCCTACCTTGCGCCCGGACCCCGAGGAGGGCTGCTAAGAGGAGACAGGTCGCTGGAGCCGGAGACCCCTTCATCGCCCGTCCAGGGGGGCTTCACGAGCGGAGAGGCGGAGAGGCTTCCACCGCGCCCCCAAGCAAGCGCTTTGGGGTTCTCCCCTCCAGGGCTGGCCGGCCGGCCGGGCTGCTGTCCCCCTTCGGCGATCTGCTCGGTCGAGGCTGGGACTTCTCCTCTTCTTCTTCCTCCTCCTCCTCCTCCTCTAGACATCCGAGCTCCGCGACCAGCCCCCGAAGCTGCCGGCTCCGCGCGATGTACAGCCGGCGAGCGAGCGAGTGAGCAAGCGAGCGCCGCTTTCAGCACGGCGGACAGCGCCCAGCAGCGCCGGCGCCGGGGATCGCCGCCCGCCGGGTGCTGAAGGACAGCTCCTTACCGTAACGCTCCGAGTACGGCGACGCCGGCAAATCCTGGAGAGCGAATCGCCTTGACTAACATCGGCCTAGCCTCGGGGGAGGGGGGCCAGGAAGAAAGAAACACAACCTCCTCCCGCTCTCTTTCCCCCTTCCTCCTTGCCTGGAGGGTGGGATTCTAGCGAGCAAAGCAGTCTCCCAAGTTCTGGAAGGAGAGAGCGTTCAATCCCTTCGTATCTTCCACTAATCTTTTCTTGTAGGTTTAGATCCCCTCTGGAGAGTTTCTATTCCCCGCCTACCTCCCCCCTCCAAAAAAATCCCCACACAGGTGGGAAATGGGCTATCAAAGTAGGAGTGGGGGTTCTAAGCTCAGAAAGAGTGTGTCGAGGTAGGGAAAGGGGGTCCTTAGTCAAGGAGTGTGCCCTTTTCTGATGTCTGCTCCCAGGAACCCCGTTTTCATCTCTCTCTCTCTCTCCACCCACCTCCCCTCCCTATCAACCCATCATCACCCCTCAAAAATGCTGATCTAAATACTCCCATCTACTTGCTCGGCGTTTTCAAATTCACGGGATAATGAAGATGGCTTTTGAGCATACAAAGGACAATAAATTATTACTTTGCGCTCAATAAATGCCAAGGCTGCAGGCAGCTGCATCAGCAGCAAACTGTGCTCACAGGAGAAGTGGGGAGGGGATGTGGGGAGGGGGGAGAAGGAGAGGGAGCGAGAGCGAGAGAAAGAACTTAATTATCATTATATTATATAGTTAAAAGCCAATGGCATTTTGAGCCAAGCTCTGCAGAACAACCAGAGGCGGTTGTGGAGGGAAAGATCACCCCCTGCAACCCCCCCAAGCCCACTTCTGCCAGTCAGCTCAAACCCTGGCCACCCAGGGGATTGATAAAGTGCCCCCACCAATTGGCTCATGAATTTATGTCCTCTGGGCTTAGAGTAACTTGATCGGTCTGGACTCAGATGAGATGGATGGCTAAATCCCCACTGTGCTAAATCTCTGTTTGGGCCAGGCCTGGCACAGAAACTCTCCTGCTGCTGTCGACAAAAGCCATCATGCAGGGAGAGCCCTGCTGGATCAGGCCAATGGCCCACCTAGTACAGGATCCTGTTCTCACAGTGGCCAACCAGATGCCCAATGTGGGAAACCCAGGAGGGGAACCTGAGCACATCTCTCACCTTGTGGTTTCCAACAATTGGTACTGGCAAGCATTGCTGCCTCCACTAGTGGAGGGGAGAACATAGTCAAATTGGCTCATAACCAATGGCAGCCTTCTCCTCCAGGATTTTGTGCAATCCTCTTTTGAAGCTTTCTGGGTTAGTGGCCATCACTGCCTCTTGTGGGACAGAGCTCCATGGTTTAACTACCGTATTATTCAATCTATAAGACGCACCAGACCACAAGACGCACCTAATTTTTGGAGGAGGAAAACAAGAAAAAAATATTCTGAATCTCAGAAGCCAGAACAGCAAGTGGGATCGCTGCGCAGTGAAAGCAGCAATCCCTCTTGCTGTTCTGGCTTCTGTGATAGCTGCGCAGCCTGCATTCGCTCCATAAGACGCACACACATTTCCCCTTACCTTTTAGGAGGGAAAAAGTGAGTCTTATAGAGCAAAATATACGGTAAGTGCTGCGTCAAGAAGGACTTGCTTTTATCTCTTCTAAATCTTCCAACATCCAAATTCCCTGGATGTCCACAAGTTCTACTGCTGTGGGACAGGGAGGAAAACTTTCCTCTCTCCGCTTTCTCTATGCCACACATCATTTCTGTCACGGTGCCTCTTGCTCACTTTTTCTCTAAAGTCCCAAATGCTGCAACCTTTCTTCACAGGCGAGTCGCTCCATCCCCTTGGTCATTTTGGCTGCCCTTTTCTGAACCTTTCCCAGGTCTTCAATATCCTTTTTGAGGCAAGGTGACCAGGACTGTCCACAATACATTGGAGGGAAGGAACATTGTGTCCCCCTAGATGGGGGAGCCAGTGTGGTGTAGTGGTTAAGAGCGGTGGACTCATAATCTGGTGAACTGGGTTCGCGTCTCCGCTCCTCCACCTGCAGCTGCTGGGTGACCTTGGGCCAGTCACACTTCTTTGAAGTCTCTCAGCCCCACTCACCTCACAGAGTGTTTGTTGTGGGGGAGGAAGGGAAAGGAGAATGTTAGCCGCTTTGAGACTCCTTAAAGGGAGTGAAAGGCGGGATATCAAATCCAAACTCTTCTCTTCTTCTAGATAAGATGTGGTGCAGAACCCCAGGCCTGTGGGCCAGTTGAACTGCAATCCTTGAACTGCAATAACTTTGCCACTAGCCCAGATAAGGAATGAACAGATATATTGAATGGCTTTTGAAGAGGATTAGGCTCGGCTCTGCCTCTGTGGTTGTTAGCATCGCCCTTGAGGCCAGTGCCCTTGAGCCAGTGCCACTAACTGGACTCATCTACTTCAGCCCCGACTGGGCTAGGCGAGTTGGGTAGCACTTCCAGAGACCACCTTCTGCACAGGAACAGGTCAAAGTGCTGTGGACTCACAGCTTAGAGTTGTGAGCACCGGATTCACTCCAACAAGAAGACAGCCGTCGCACAGCAGAGTATAGCAGAGCATAAACGATGCGGAGAGCAGCTCTGCAGAATATCTTCTTTATTCTATCTACAACTATAATACACAACTATATACAGAGCTAAATGCCTCTGTGGTTGGAGGCAGCCCATGCTTCTCCTCTGGCTGAGAGGTTCCTCAGGCAAAGTGCGGGGCTAAATTATTATTATTATTATTTATCGAATTTATATACCACCCTGTACCCAGAGGTCTCAGAGCAGTTCACAGAATAAAATCAAAATACAGTGGTGCCTCAGGTTACATATGCTTCAGGTTACATACACTTCAGGTTACAGACTCCGCTAACCCAGAAACAGTGCTTCAGGTTAAGAACTTTGCTTCAGGATGGGAACAGAAATTGTGCTCTGGCAGCACAGCGGCAGCAGCAGGAACCCCCATTAGCTAAAGTGGTGCTTCAGGTTAAGAACAGTTTCAGGTTAAGAATGGACCTCCAGAACGAATTAAGTACTTAACCCGAGGTACCACTGTATAAAACCACAGAATACATAATCAAAATAAAAGCAACAACCCAATACCCCCCCAACCCCACATTTTAAAAGGGCATAGGATGTCAATCAAATCAACCAAAGGCCTGGTTAAAAAGGAACATTTTTACCTTGCGCCTAAAGATGTATAATAAAGGCGCCAGGCAAACTTCCCTGGAGAGAACATTCCACAGATGGGGAGCCACTGCAGAGAAGGCCCCGTTCTCGTGTTGCCACCCTCTGGGCCTCTCAAGGAGGCACACAAGGAAGTGTGATTAATTTTACATGAATTTATATGCAAATATACTCAAAGTCCCATTGTCTCTCAGCCTCACACAAATTTGCTAATTCCTAAAATAACCCTTGTCTCTGTGTTGGCTTTCATAGATGTAACAAAAGAGAAGAGAGGGAGAAATTACCCTGGATAAATACAAAAGCGGGGTTCAGAACATAAAGAATTTAGTTTACAGGCTTATAAATTGTAGTTAAGTACTTTATCTGCTTATGGCACCCACAGGTGCTGGAAAGGAGGGGAGCGAGGGTGCTCAGGTCCTGCTTACGAGAGTCCCACGAGAACAGGATTCTGACTTACATGGGTCATTGGCCTGATCCCGCAGGCTCTTCCTATATTGGACTTTGACCTGAGAGATCAGGGTCTGAATCCCCACTGAGCCACAAAACTCCACTGGGTGACCTTGGGCCAGTCGCTGCCTCTCAGCCTATCCTACCTCACAGGGTCGTTGTGAGGATAGAATGGGCAGGAGAACCACGTACACCACCCTCAAGCTCCTTGAAGAAGGAGGTGGTATATAAATATAAGGTAAAGGTAAAGGGACCCCTGACCATTAGGTCCAGTCGTGGCCGATTCTGGGGTTGTGCTGCTCATCTCGCTTTACTGGCCGAGGGAGCCGGCGTACAGCTTCCGAGTCATGTGGCCAGCATGGTTCTGGAGAACTAGAGCAGCGCACGGAAATGCTGTTTACCTTCCCGTCAGAGCGGTACCTATTTATCTACTTGTACTGGTGTGCTTTCGGACTGCTAGGTTGGCAGGAGCAGGGACCGAGCAACGGGAGCTCACCCCGTCACGGGGATTCAAACCGCCGACCTTCTGATCGGCAAGTCCTAGGCTCTGTGGTTTAAATGTAGCAACAACAAAAAAGTATTCTTACGTCTCTGTGTGTATATCCTCTAACTTTTACAGAGTTGAAATTCGGCCCATTGCACAAAGTGAGGAGTTCCAACCTTTGCTCCGCCCACTTTTTTGCACCTGCCTCTGCCCACTTTTTTGCACATGGCCCCTGGAAAGGGGCTCTTTAGGAACGGTGACCACTGGGCTGGGAAAAGGTTCTTTGCCCTCTGCTCCCTAAAGATGTCCTGGGTTAACCCAGACCTATAGAATTCTCCTTCCCTAAAATTCTGCTTGCCCACTTCCTGAACCTCAGACGTCTTTCCCGTTGCTTTCCAGAGCAAGAGAATCTTTATTGACTATATCTTGAATCCTGCCGTATTTCTTGGCCTGACATCCTTCTGGGGCAGATATCATGCGCAATTAAATCCAAGTGGCGATCCTTTTTATTTAATACACTTAATGGATTGCAACATATCTCAGCTTCCAGAAGTCTGCTCCTGTGCCCTGACTGGTTTTTTTAACCTTTTTTATTTAAAAAAAATTGCTTTAAATTGAATTTTAACCTCCTACCGAGGCTGAGAGATTTGATGTAAGCATGGAGACTTTTCTCGGAGCAGGCAGATGGCATTTGGAAAGATCTCGCAGAGAAATTGCTGCAAGCTGATTTCTGGACATTTATTTTGATGTTGGGGATGTGTGTGTGTGTGTGTGTATGTTTGTTTGTGTGTGTGTGTCGGGTGTTGGTGGTGGGGAGAGGTGGAATTTAGCTGTTTATTTAAAAAATATACATTAATCAAAATCCAAATGGGCTTCCTTCCACCCCCCCCCCTTGGCTGTTGTTAGGAATGAGGAAGAGAAATTGACATGGGGAGTTACTGCCTCTGAAATGTTAATTTTAGCTGCATGGATGCAGTAGGGCCGCTTGTCCAAATCTGCCCAAAGAGGTTTGAATTTACAGAAGCAGCCGAGCCAGAGGGATAGAGGGACGGTCAGCAAATTCATAGTTGCTGATGTTGGGGATTTTAGTCTGGACACCACCAGAGACTGAAGCTGGCAACGATTATACACGTGCGCGCGCGCGCGCGCACACACACACACACAGAGTGCTGGAAAGGGATTGGTGGCAAGGAATACGGAATCGGCTGGAGAGTGTTAAGTCAAAGCCAGGCTAGGCCATGGGCAGCTAGAGTAGTCCAT